TCAGCACCACGCTCACCCAGTGAGCAAACCAGCCATCCCTATATGGGACCCGAACCCGGGGCCTTGGTGTTATCAGCACCGCACTCTCCCGAGTGAGCCACGGGCCGGCCCAAGTAGCTTCTAAATTAGTATTTGTGTGTTGATTCATCACATGAGGTGCATAGAGCACAGAGACAGAGAAGATGAGGGAGAGATGGGTGTGTGTCATGGGCTGGGTTCACAGTAAATGCTCAATAAATTCTTGTGGAATGATTGTATGAGTTCCAGAATGACCCAGACTGGTGTAACAAAGAAATGCAGAGAGTTGGCTACAATGGGAAGGTGGCTTCAACTTGACACAGCAGGAGAGGGACAAGCAGATGTTGTATAGTATTTGGCCAATCTGGGGCAAAGGGAAGATGCTCAGGAAATGTTGATTGAATGAATGAATGAATAGGAAGGCAAAGGTGAGAATGAGAGAGCCAGATACAGAGAGAAACAGAGAATTAAAGACACACAGAAGAGAGAGAGAGAGAGAAAGAAACAGACCAGTGAAGAGATAGAGGAAGACAGGCACACAGAGAGAGAGAGACAGAGGCTCACAGAGGCAGACAGACAGACAGTTCAGTGAGAGAAACTGAGAGAGACAGAAAGACTGTGAGGCAGAGAGAGAAACTGTATCGTGACCAGACCAAGGCAAGATTTGGGGGAATAGGCCAGCAGTGAAGGGGGGCCTCCAAACCACCAGTCTCTCTCTGCAGAGAGGGACAATCTCAGGGGAGACCCCAGCCTTGGGGGTGACTGGGTCCCCTGGCCCCACAGGTCGGTGACACGAAGTTATTACCGAGGGGCGGCTGGAGCCCTGCTGGTGTACGACATCACCAGGTGGGTGCACAGAGTGGGCAGGGTGGGGCATGGGGGGCCCTTCTCCTGCACCACCTCCCACCTCTCTCCCTTTTTACAGCCGAGAGACGTACAACTCGCTGGCTGCCTGGTTGACTGACGCCCGCACACTGGCCAGCCCCAACATCGTGGTCATCCTCTGTGGCAACAAGAAGGATCTGGACCCTGAGCGTGAGGTCACTTTCCTGGAGGCCTCCCGCTTTGCCCAGGAGAATGGTGAGGGCTGTGTGTGGGCCAGTGGGAATGGGGGACAGAGTGGCAGAGGGGTCAGGCAGTCTGCTGGGACCTGTGGGCCTCCTGGCTTTTTTAATAGCTGTGCCCAGCAGGGGAACATGGA